GAGGGTAACCACTATGAAGGCTTTGCTTCTCGCTAGTCTGTGATGTTTTATATTATTTTTAATACTGATAAATGTTACATCTATAAATTTATTTATAGAAGTGTATTAAGAACCACAAACATTTAAATTGAAAGCATAATTTAATATTATTAGAATTATTGATATGAAATGAGAAATAATATGCATGAGAATTATTAATGTTATAGTAACCATTTATTAAATATTTAAGTACAAAAATTATTGTAAAACAAAAAATATTTCTTTAAAATAAAAATAAAATTGTATGCAAAGCACATTGCAGAATAAAGATGTCGAGTATAGGTAACAACAAAACCTAATTCTCAAATAGTAGATTATATGCTTCCTACTTCACTAGCATTTCAAGAATGTATTCCATATACTGGGTTCAAAAGTCATCTGAGGTGAGACAGGGTGGTTTACATTATATCTGTGAGAGCTTGCCTTCTCCCATTTATATTCTTTGTCTGGCATTAGCCAGTGAGCACAAAGCAAGATCGTGGCGTAAAAATACTCATGTATGTTTAAAGAATGGAGTAAAATTCTAGTATATGATACGGCCTTGGCACAATTTTGAAAATTGTCGCAAACACCAAAATGACCGGTTTACTGCTTGTAATGATGTTACCAAAAGTTGCCAAATCTCGTATACTAGGATTAAACCAAAAATGGTACACAAATGATTTTTTCTTGTATTTCATCAAGAAAATATAAAACATTTGTGATGTGTACCATTTGTCATTTTCCAGATTTCGCGTGGTGAAGGGCCAGTGTTTTAAAATGCGCTTGCACAAGGACAACATGAGTTGTATTGGGAAAAAATATAAAGGTAAATTTTACAGTAAAAACAAAGGACTAAAAAGTTACTAATGTAAAATGCCTGTTACTGCAGCCTTCTATTGCCTTTTTTACTGGAGCATAACCTGCTACTGAATGCATCAAATCATGCTGCAGCTTTATTTAGAAAAAATGTTTCCAGATAACAAAATTACTAAGAAATACTCAAGTGCATGGACAAAATGGCTATAATTCTTAAAGAAATGGGTATTAAAAATAAATCTTCAGTTATTGATTGAAGTGAACATGTGATTACATCCTACATAAATTTCCAGTCAACAATGAAATAGTATTACATCTGAAGTTTCAGATGTTTCTAGATGCTGATAGAATTTTTTTAAATTGTGATTTTTCAATTACACTATAGTGTCTAGAATAATGTCGGCTATCCTGATAATTCCCCAATAATGCAAATTGCAAGAGGATTTTCAGTGTTGTTACTAAACAAGCACAGCATTTAGATCCAGTATTAGTATTGGCACATTAGAAAAAGATTTCTTAGGGAAACCAGGCTTATATGGCAACTGCTATGAGCAAAATTTCTTAATGAAAGCAGAATCTACCACTGTTCTAGCATTTGTATGGAAACTGATTAAATTATTATTTTTCTATTAAAAGAGACAAATAATAAAAGTTATTATTTTTAAATGCAAATACAGTAAAAGTCTAGAAATCCGCAAAGCTTGGGACCAGAGGTTGTGCGGATTTCAAGACAGAGAAGATAAATCGTAATATTCAGACTCAAAGTGCAAAATAAATAAGCTGTATTAAATACATTTAATAAAATTACTGCAATAATTTATTATATGCGTTAAATTATTATTACATATATAAACTGATTATATTATTCATTATATTATATGTACACAGCATCCAGGTTTGCCTATTTCGCCTCATGCAAAGATTTCCTCTTTCGGATTCCGGTGTTAGAATCACTGTTGCTGTAAAATTTCAGTAGCTTTTCTTTATTTTTCCGTGTATCATACACCATAGTGTCACAATTCCATACGATTCTGCTATAAACCAAAGAGTGGCACCTGCCTCCATTTTTTGCAGAATTTGCACTTTTTGCATTACTGTCAATGCAACATGTTAACGTTGCAAGCAGTAAAATCATGTGTGCATGTCTTTTCTGTCATTGTATTAAAAAGGGCTGAAATTTAAAATATTCTTAATTTATCCACAAAATATCCGGATAAAAAAAAAGACAGCACTAAATAATCTCATGAAATAACAAAGCTCAGAAAATACAACAACGTGAATCGTGAACTTGAAAGAAGATTTGAGTGAATCGTCTGCTTTTTTACCTCGACGGAGATTAGAGCGAAAAAGAACTTTTATCATGATGTCAATAATTTGTTATTTCCATTATGACTCATTATTATTTGGTAATTATGACGTCATTATTCGGTAAGTATTTTTTCTTCGATATTTTGTACTCCATGTTGCAGTTTCTGGAGACTATAAACTGAATGTTTATATTTTGAGAGGCAGTGCGGATTTCAGGTTGGCGGATTTTCGGTATTTGACTGTAGTACTTTTGTACAATTTGCATTTAAAAATTACATGTAAAAATAATTACTTTCACTATTTGCATCTAAAAATTAATACCTGAACTTTTAAATATTAATTAATGATTATTTAAAGTTCACTGATTAAAATAAATATATCATTTAAAAAATCTTTTTGTCATTGAGAACATTTTCATCTCTTAAAAAATTGCTCTAATTTTTTAGTGTCACAGGTTGGCAAAGGTGCATTTAATTCATGATATACCTAATTAAAAAATTTTTATAGAATTGCATTACTTATTTTTCACTTTTTAAGTATACAAAGTATATACAATGTTCTCATGTTAATCCAAATGCATATCCATCTAATATCATATAAAATGTTTCACTATTCTGCCTGGGGCCTATGAGCAGTAAAATCACAAAACACCAATAGTTCCAACCTAGGTTTAATTCCAGGCAAATGGCCTTTTTGCATGTGCATTTTTGTGATTTTCCCCATGCATAATGTATATATGAGCCTGCTTCTCGTAGAAAGTCCTCCATGAAGGCACCCATCCCTTTAGGCAGACAGCATTTGCGTGCTTTGCCATAATCAAATAAAGTAACCAACCGTAATTCCATTTGGGCCATATTAAATTTTAAGAGCCCTTTAGGGTGATTTAAAATCGGAACCCTTTCAGACTTTCCTTTATTTATTTTGTTTACTACTTTGTACACATTCAGTAACATGGTTTTAATTAAAAAAATTCCTTTTCCTAGTATGGATAGTTTCCTCCAATTTAAAAGCTATGGAAATATCACCGATTGTAAAAATTATCTTCTGCAAAGTAACATTGTAATAAATGACAGATGTAATTTTTCTTTAGCTACTTTATATTCATATCCAACATCTGAAAGCATGTTTCCATAAATTCCTTTATGTAAATCACAGAGTATGAAATAGTTCACTGCATTGTACAAATGTTGAGGTAAGATAGGCAGAAAAATTAATTGTGCTAATTCTGCATATTTTCAAATTGTTAGCTATAAATATGCTGTGATATTTTTAGTGCTTTGCTGGCAACCAGGTTTATCACTGAATTCATGAGGTCAAATATTTTTCATTCTTTATTACATTTAATGACACAAGCATCTTAACTGTATTTCTTTTAATTTTTGGTGTTATATTTTACTTATTATTGATTTCTGGAAAGAAAATCATGTCAAAACTAACCTAAATCTTGATGGGTTACTGTACAATTTTGATTAACAGGTAGGAAGTGTAATAATCTGGTTGAATCAGTATCATTCCTAACCATTGTCATATGATAGGCTGTGTTTCTGTTTGGATATGAGGTTCACATAAGAGTCTGGCAATATGTTACATGCTATGCTAAGGGAAAGACCCACCCTTGGCATAGTCTGGCTTAAATGGAAACAGTGACAGTGGCAAAATCTATTCATTATATTTTTACTTCATTGTATAAAGTAACAGAAGTTATTATTGAAATCGAAAAATATTACGGGTATCATGAAAAACGGCAATATCCATTTTGACCATCCCCGAAAATATATGGATGATTTTTTATGTGACATCTGTACATACAAACAGAATAAAGGACTCTTTATTCCAAAACAGATTAAAAAGGGATTTTTTTTCATGATGCCATACAAGGAAGTCATGATGCCTACATCAGATTTTTGCTTATATAGCCATTGCATTACATTTTCACATAGCCTAGCTTTCATGCATTCAGTGACAAAGACAAAATCTATAAATTCAAATTTTCCTCCTTCAATAATAGTCTCACACGTAAGATTGGACCATAGCTATATGTCTACAATTTTAAGGAACTGTATTTACAACTTATGCATAGTTGAAATGTGTTCATGTATCATGCAAAATTGGTTTGAGAGCTGCATCGGCCTGCAGGCCATCAGTTTGAGACAACTATTGTACACCTAATGATGACTTTTGTATGACTGAAGTCAAATTACAAGCACTTATAAATTATGACCAAATATACAACCAATAATTTCTTCTAAGTGTAATAGTTAAAAAATGTGCAAACATATTAAGTATGGGATCATTAACAAGTAAAAGAAAAACTGAATTACGTAGAATATATTGTTTAAAATTAAACTATGACCTCTAAATTATTCTCCTAGTGTACTTCTTCCCTATATATCCATTATTTACTGAATTGCAACCATTTTATTAATATTTCATTGGTCCGTGTTTGGCATTGAGATGATTTGTATTCATGATAGGGATCCGTAAAAATCTGTCTTTATACATCTTGGTTGGCAGACTATGGATATTGATTCAGATCCATGACATTAAACACTCATTTTATAATATTCCGTAGATGCTCTATAAAATTCAGATTAAGAAAATTAAACAATTAGTCCATATGGTGCATCTGTTTGGAAAGTTCTTCAATCAATAAGCACAATTTTTTCTTGATGGCACCACACATTGTTTTGAGATATGTTAGTGCCATTTGAAGAGAAATATATCATGGAGCATATATGACCCCTTAACATCTAACAATATATAACAGATGTCACATGACAATAAACAAATAACAGTACTCAGTTTATAACAAAAAGAAAGCTCTTTACATTACAAAGTTGCTCTTACTAACTTACTTGTACAGCATTCACCAAGCTTAAAAGGTCCATCATAGCTTTGCTTCTACAGTCAAAAGTCGTTAATCCGGACTCGTCGGGACTTCGGCAATTCCGGATTATAGATCATCAGTTTAAATCTCGTAAGATGGCATGCAGAAATTCTAAAATTAAAAATATGAAACCGTAATTTATGAAATAAAGAACAATTATGATCTAAACGGTATCAAAATTTGCAAAAAGAAAAAGCTTAATATTTATTTGTTTACTTTAGTAAACATTTCTTTCAATGTAAGTTGTTTAAGTTTTGCTTCGTTTCATGTGATAATACTTTCTCTTTAATTCTATTAAACAGACATAATTTCTTGTTCAGTTACAAAGTTCCGCTGTTCAAGTCCTATAATTGCTGTGTCGAGAACACCGACTAATTTGTCAATCGAAATTTTTTCGTTTTCAATAACCTCTGTCACTTTTCTTCGCTAACGGAAGCGAATTATAATGACGAGGAACTTGTTTTAAATCATATCAAAGACAGAGCATATCGAGATGAAATATTACATTTGGTAAGAAATTATGAGCCAAATAAAATAAAAACATCTGCACTGAAGATAAGGATAGTGCTGACAGATCAACTTCCAATTCATTACGCGCCCGCCGCGGCGTTCCCCCCGCTGAGCAGCATGAAATTGATAAACAGATTTCGGATTTCAAAACATACTTTCGCTTTAGATCCTTTACATATTAACAAATATATATCGAAAATTCTATTTGATATAATCGCAAGTTTAAGCTTACTTTTATAAAATTGCTCTTACAGTCTGCAAAAAATAACAAGCCGGACCCAATTCGAAAATTAAGGAACAACGCAATCATCAACATTAACTGAAATAGATAATTAGATAATTTTAGCTTATAAGTCTATTATACATAAAACGTGCACGCGAAAACGTATTCTACACTTGCGCACACTCATATGCACAGTCGTAAAAGGTCTTATGTGCACGCGTAAACGCCTATGCGCATGTGTCAACGCGGCGCATGCGCAGAAAGGTTTCAGTTTTGAGGTCCGGATTATAGATCATTCCGCATTATAGGTGTCCGAATTGACGACTTTTCACTGTATTTATTTTTCACACTTTAAAATATTATGTGTTTATAAAGCTAATCAATATTTTATAAACTGATTTTTTTTTTTTCATTTTACATTTATGACTGCTTTCAGATAAATAAGATACTCTTATTAGTGAGTTGAATATTATGAAAGTGGAGCTCCATATAGCCCTGATTATTTAAATGCTAAAGTACTCATAACAAAGCCTGCAAATATAGGATAACTCAATGCTCTTATCATGCACTTCTAATGTGCAGTATTGGAAGACATGTCAGAGGATTGTGACAAATGTAAAGGTTGATTTGCAACTGGTTCTGAAACAAAATCATATACACATTCTGCATTAAACTCACTTTCCGTGTTCAGATAGTTAACTTCGCATTCATTTTCTAATATTTCAATGGAGAAAATGTCTAATAAAAAAGAATTGCATTTCATACACCACCTTATTTATCTTATTTAAATGCTTGAAATTTTAGTTTGAGTTAACTCAACTTTCTCAAATGCTTTTTTTTTAAAATTTTATTTTCCAAATTTTAAAATGAACTGCTTTATCTTGCCCTTTCTTTTTAATATGCTTATAAAGTTTATTCAAAAGCACTTTTTTGTAATTCTATCACTAGTAGTACCAAGTCTGCAGATTTTCACACGAGCAGTACAACATCCGGACTTCGACAATTCCGGATTTGGATCATCATTTTAAATCTAGTGAGATGGCATGCAGAAATTATAAAATTAAAAATGGTAATTTATGAAATAATGAAACATCTATGATCTAAAGGGTATCAAAATTTACAAAAAAAAAAAAAAATAAAATAAAATTCATACTTTTCTGTTTACTTTATTAAACATTTCTTTGAATATAAATTGTTTAAGTTGCTTCATTTTTTGTGCTTTCTCTTCAATTCTGTAGACAAGCATAATTTCTTGTTCAGTTATACAAAGACCCACCGTTCAAGCCCTGTAGTTGCTGCATCAAGAATTCCGACTAACTTGTTAATCGAAATATTTTCGTTTTTAATAACCTCTCATCACTTTCTTCACTATCGGTAATGGTATTTTCTGGATCTAGAACCATACTACAGATTTCGCCGTCCGTTAATTGATTGATGATTGGAACATTGTCATTGCAATGAAAAACATCTGTTATATCATCTTCACTTATTACCGCTTCTCCACATTTCTTTACAAAATCCATTAATTGGAAAAGCAGATATGCAGCTAATGAAGCCAAATTATTGGCCCCACAAAATTTATTCTAAAATGATTGCAATAACGAGGTATTTTATTCAGCAACGAAGTGAAATTAAGAATCGGGATTCTCTACATGCTTTCTTACAGAGGAAAAAATCAAACGCGTGTGCGTATAGTATTAAAAAAAATTCCTACAAACAGTTTGTTGGTGGCTTTAAGGTCCGGATTTCGGACTTCTTACTGTATAAGTATTTTTTTAAACACTGGGTTGCATAAATGCAATAAATAGATTTATTGAAAATTGAATTAGTTTAAATATTTAACATTATTTTCATATGTAAAATTTTTTAAATGATAGCTAAGATGAAAAATAAATATAATCGCTAACACAATCATTCATTGACTTGAAGTCACTGATTATATAATCATCAGAAAAACAGAGGCCAACAAAACATACATATTTCTTAGCTAAATAGACTGCAGTTTTTAAGTGTTCAAGTGCTGAACATTAAAATATTGCATAAGGCCAAGTTAACATATAAAATAAATGTGTTACTGCTACTTTCTACTGTATTGAAACAGAAATGAATATGTTGAGCAACAATGTTTCAATATAAAATAATTAATGTTTTTTTGTAAGCTTTTACAATTTTTATCTTTCTATAAATTTTACAAACACTTTATTAAATCAGGCGTGTAAAGGGGTCGTTTTAGATAGGGTCATAGAAGAGTCCGGTATAGTGTAACAAATATTTATTAACAGGTTTAAGTTACACACGGACATTACATTTAACTTTAAGAAAAATTACAGAGCAACTGTCTGGTACAACCTATCAAGTGGGGGCCTTGGCTTTTACTGAAGTACTTCTCTGGCTACTCACCAGAGGGCAGCCTTGCTGTCACAGTTAGTCCAACAGTTTACGTTAGCCTTGCTGTCACAGTTAGTCCAACAGTTTATGTTAGCCTTGCTGTCACAGTTAGTCCAACAGTTTATGTTAGCCTTGCTGTCACAGTTAGTCCAACAGTTTATGCTAGCCTTACTGTCACAGTTAGTCCAACAGTTTCTGTTAGCCTTGCTGTCACAGTTAGTCCAACAGTTTACGTTAAAGGATTGGTTACAGACGTAATTTGCAACTCTGCAAAAAATTAGTAGCATAATGAGTCTGCCAAAATAGTAGACACCTAGAAAACTTAGTTTTCATCATCAGACAATCTGTTGTCAAATCGGTAATTTATATTTAGCTATCAGTAGTTTCATTTCTTACTGAATTTCACTCATTTAAAATATTTACAAGCAGAAAAAGTTATTACAAATAATACACATCTTCTACATGCTTCAGTGCCAACTTTAATACACATTAATAAAATCCCTCTTAACTGTCACCTAGTTAACCAGCAATATCAAAATAGTGGCACATTTGAAAGTTTAAATTGAAAACCAAATTTTATTAGGTCTATGAAATTTAAAAAAAAAAAAAAAAAATTAAATATATAATGGACTACAAATTTTACTTACATGTACAAAACATTTGTATTATCTTTCTGCTGCCTAAGATAACAAGCCTTATTTAACCAATAAATTATCTAAAATATAAAGCTGAACTACCAATCCCCTTTTAGTAAGTCGAATGTGTGATCTTTGAAGATAGTGCCCGACTTTATGAAACAAATCACATTGCAATACTTGGTTTTTGCTTGGAAAAATATAAAGAACATTACTTTACATCACTGTTGGTGTAAATTGTGTTAGTAGATAATGGATTGAGTTGCAAAGATTCTCTTGATTTTAAAATATATCTGGCACCCACGCTGACATCTAGGATTTACTTATATGCCTGGAGAATATTAGTGTTGGTGAAGAAACGGTTTGGATAGATGTAGACAATTTTGTTCTCATCTTACTTTCTCAAGATGGCAATGGAATAGTGAGACATGTACAATGGGAAAAGGGGGAAAATGAAGATAAAGACAACATATAGAGCAAGAAAGTTACGTGGATAGAAGCTGAGGTAAGATTGTAGATCATCGTAAGGTTTCCTGAGTAACATTCATCTATGTTAGTACATGATGTTATAAAGCTTTATTATATACAAAGCAAAATTTTATGTTACTACATGATGTTATGAAGCTTTATTATATACAAAGCAAAATTTTAAAATAATGGTAACAATATTATAAATAAGTAGTAGACATTTGAAGTTTCATGCCATCATATTAAGAAATTCGTAATATTCATGTGGCAATTTTAAGATGTTGAATTTTGTTTTTCTGAAATACAAAATCATGTTATGCATTTCAAATCTGTATGATTTTCATTATTTACTTAATTGTGGCTGATAGATCAAAAACATGACCTACTAACTTTGGATGTTGTAATTTTAATACATGGCATCACAAAACATGAACAAGTAATTTATAGAAATATGTACTTAATTATCCAATAAACTGGTGTAGTTCTATTGCTGCAAGTTAAAAGGGATTCCACTCTATATTAAAAAAATGTTAGAAGGTGCTTTGGCTACAATATGCTTAAATACCACCGACATCAGGTACTGGAACTTCTGAAAGTTCATTTATAAATTAAAAAATTATGATAAAAGTATAGTTTCAATTTCTGCTTTCTTGTCAAGTAGACTTGTTCATTATAGTATTAATTTTATTTACCATTTCTGGTCACTTATATTAATATATCTGTAACTGCATTGTTTTATGTTTGGTTAACTTGTAGGAACAGTATTTTAGACTTAGACTCTATAATTGACCGAGCTATTGCGAAGAGCAATGTTGCCGGTTCCAGAAATAAAGCCCAAGGGCACTCGATATAAAGAAATCCTGACATGGAGAAAATCTCAGATGAGAAAAAGGGAAGAACAGTATTTTACTTTCATTCATATTATTAACTACAATCTGAATTTAATAATGTAACACTGAGTAAAAATAATAATAAAATAAAATTGCAAAACTTTTATAAAATGCTGCATATTTAACATTTTCTCATACAATGGGAATTCAAAATTTTTTATCATTACATTTAACAAACCAATATATATGATTAATTTATTCAGTTCAATTAAAAAAATATTGCAATGAGTATTATATTCACAAATTTATCACACACAAGACATGTCAGTTTATAAATATTTCATTGAGACTAGATAAGTATGATGTGAAATAAAAACAACAAAAGCAAGTAAAATTCAAAATATTCAATGAGTATCAAAGTAAAAACTATGTATTACCTTATGCTTAATTTGACAATACATTATAAATTGAGTTTTCGATGGTGAATAATTACGAAATATAAATTTAATATTTCAACTGAATCTAGAAATTAAATTGTTTAAACATATAATTAATAACAATTGTTATTTTTTCAAGTATGTGTACTAAACATATCGCCTGCAGATGTTATATTTTTAGATTACTTCATAATAAAATGCTACTAGTATTTTTAACTGGAATGTAATGTAGAATAATAAATTACAATTAAATGTATGTAGCAGTAGCAAAAAATTTAAGGCTATAATTAAATAAACATGAACATTTTGTAGTTTTGTAATGTGTAATTTTGAAGATTTTAAAAAAATTGCACTATATATGCAATCATAAGTTGCTTATCATTAGAATATTTCACTGCTTATTATAAAATGATGTGTTTAAATAGATGGTGTCAGTTCATTAACTAATATTTTTAATATATGAAATGTTGCAAAAAATATTAGAATAAACCATTGTTTAAGTGTATATGAATATTACATACAATGCTAAATATTAGCCAGTCTTCAGATAACAATTCCTATATCACAAAGATATTTTAGACTATTGAATAAGTTGCTGCATAGTATAATAATGCTTTCCAAATTGGAGAAAAGTGTGACAATTGTTCTTTAGTGCCCGCAGGTAAGGATGTAAAATCGTTAAACAGAGGTAATTTGATTTAAATTCAAATCCAAGTAAATATACTGGGCACTTGTACGTTTTCCCTGTGTATCACCAAGTTACCATAATTCGAAGATTAACCAAAAGTGCACATATTATAACCAGCTGGGCTATTCATATGCAAAAAATGCAGTCTCACTGTACAGAAAATGTACAGTGAGACTGCATTTACTTTCACAAGTAAGGATACTTCATAAAGGAGATTGTGCTTATGGTTGAATAAATGCAACATGTCAAAACTTTAAAAACTACACTCGTATTTTTATGTAAGAAGAGGAAGTATGCTATTTGGATGTAAAATAAACTATAATAAATATTCATGAAGATTATTCAGTTATTTTTTCTTAGCAAAGCAAAGGTTAACAAAATGCAGACAAACTACCAGTTACCATATTCTAAAGATCAGCCTTAAATTTTTCATCAAACAATATAGAAGTTCATTTATGCTTAGAGTCTATAACATAATATAATGACGTGTTATAACTAATCAGAAAATATAAATTTATTGATAAAAGTCAAATTCATTTAATTCTTCAACAATTGCCTCTACTTCAACTTCTAGAACATGGTCATTTTCAACCAAGATACTATTTAATAATTTACTGTCATTTTTATCTGCCTCAGTATCCTGATGATCATCTGGATGATTTGTGGACACATAAAATGTAATTTCTTTAGCAAGGTCTGGATTATTTTGCACCATGTATTTCCATTCAGCAGTATTTGACACCTCATGATAATGTGATACAATATATGACAAAGCAAATGTTTTTAATATATGATCATTATGAAAATCAGAAAATATTAAAAGATAACAAATACTCTCATAATCTATATTACTTTTTAGATACTTCCTACATTTAGAAAGCAGGCTTTCAATTACATATTTATCAGCAATAATATATAAATCATATAATTCATCTGTACACTTAAAAACAATCTCGCTAGAAATTAAAAAATAAACCAGTCTTAACAATGACCATCGGGCTATATCTAGAATTTTTACATGATCTCTCTTGCTTTCCACCATATCAGAAGCAAGCATTCTGGCAAAGACGGGAGAGTGATGGCATAAAACTGATTTTTTGACAGGTATAACAGTCCCACCATCATTTCCTTGCAAAAAATATATTTCACTTTCTGTACATTTATCAAATGCATGCAATGATACCACATAGAGAAAATGAAATTCTATAACTTTTTGATTTACAGCTAATAACTTTGGAATTGCATAATAATATGTTATTTCAAAACTTATAGTTAAGGCATTATCAGGTAGGAGCTCATAATGTCTTTCAAGTAACGTATTTCGTAAAATGAAGCGATCTAAGCCAAAATTCACATTTTCACCATTATTTTCAAATGACTGAAATAATACTAAATTATCGTCAACATCTAAAATAGACAATGTGCATTGCACGCTAAAGATGTCAGTTAATATTCCACCAAAATAAATTGAAACATACTCTGAATTATCAGCATTGTTGCCCCTGGGATACACATGAACTGTGAATTTGCAAATAACTGGTGAAAAATCAGGAAATATACTAAATATAAATTTTTCACAATCTCCAACTTTAAAAGTGTTAGCCTTAAAATTGTGAATTTTAACTACTCTCTTTATTTCTGCTACTTGTTTTGAAGCCATTTAGAAAAATCAGAATTAAGATTATAGCATGCTTCAACTTTTTATGAACAGTTAGTCATAATTTTATTTAATGAAATAATAATTGCGTTCTAGTTTTTCGGTCTTTAGGTTAGGTGAAGATTCAGTGTAATAAAAAATATTTTGCATAAAAATATATAAAAACATATTTTTTGTATAGATGACATAAGTATTTAAATTTCCGTTACAAAAGCAATATGCAAGGGTAAAAGTTTACAAATCGGTGCCCTTTGTTTTTCGACGCCAAGTTTCCTACATAAAAGGACGCTATGAACAGCTATTACAATCGCAAAAACTAAAATATTTCGTGTTACAACCAGACCTTCTCTTTTCAGCATATAATTACTTTATCGTGATTTTATATTCTCCAACGCATATATTTAATTATCAGCAATACATAAGCATATATAATAATTGTCAGATTTCATAAATCCTAGCCGCTACCGAAAGATATTTCTTCTGTAACAAAGCAAATAAAATTATATTAATTTCTTCTTTGCACTCGGATGACGCAATGACTGTTTGCTATTTCGAATGCTACTGAATATGAATTCAGTCTTTCTGCCCGCTATCATAACAGATATGTTGAAGAGTGGTGTTTCCATGCCATATTCACAAAGCCTACGGACCGTTCCTGCTACGGTTTGCTCCGATTGTACGGTTTCTACAGGAAACGAAGGGTTATAGAATCTTTTGCTTGCCGACTTTTGCTTCATCGCCTTTGCTGTTTATAACTTTATAAGTATTGTGTATCAAAAAGAGTTGATATAAAAATAGAAAATATAATTTTAGTTACACTTATTCATAATTTCAGTGAAAAAACAGGTTTCAGACTCCCTTAAATGTTTATTTGGTTCATATAAATTTTCATTTGGTTTATGTTTAGTTTGATTTATTTTTTATTATATTTTTTCGCGATGTTCAGAAATGGTTTAGTTTAGACCTTTCATAACGCTTGTTTATGTGCTTTGAACATTTCCGAGGTGGGACAGCGTTCGAGATAGACGTCTTATTGCTTCGCTCTCCGTTTCCTTGCGTTGCTACCACCCCCGCTACTGTACCGAGTTCATCGACCTCGCCTCACGGGCTCTGGGTTGTTTCTTCTTTGGCTTTCGCCTCGCAAAAGCGTCGCCTTAACTCCACTGCTGCACCCTTCGCTGGATAAAACAGGTCATATTTTATTCTTTCTTCTGATTTTCTTTATTCACCGTGCTGATAAGGGTACCTTCGGGTACGGCCTCTAGTTAGGCCTTTTTCCAACTTATTTGCCTCACATGATTAATCAATATGACACAACAAACATAACTGTAACTAATAATAACATAAACATGGGAAACTCACTGTAGTGTCGCTTCAGTTCCGTTAAGTTTCTAATTAAATTTAGTTAAAGCGGAATGGCAACACCTTCTAGTCTCCGCAAAGAACGAAGTAAACAAAACTCCGAGTTTTTGTCACGCGATGCTACGTGCATGTAAAATGTAAATAAATCTTATGAATAAGAATCTATAACTTCGTAAGGAATAAAATATTGGTTCCATTGGAGTCAGAGAAGTGTTATTTTTCTATATTTGCACACCAGACACTTCACTATCCCCAAACCATCACTCAAGAACTTCTTGACAAAGGATTTAAGGTTAACTTTATAACACTATTAAGAAACAGAAAAGAAAACAAACCAATGCCGCTTTTCTTAGTACATATACCAAAATCAGAAGAAAATAAGGAAGTATTCAAAATCAAACGCATAGGTTATATGAACGTAACAATAGAATCATTACGCAAGAAACCTGGCCCTCCACAAGCTATAGATACCAGGGATTTTTTCACAGTTTCCTGCTCTGCACCAGAGACTGGGTTTGCGTCCCTTGCGGAGGCAATCACAAACCTATAGAATGCACCCGTAGTCGCGACCAGCCAGCCATATGTTATCACTGCAAAGGTCCTCACCCAGCCAACTTTTCAAATTGCCCGGCCAGACCAAAAAACAAACAAGTTCAGTTCCAACCAGTCCTCCACCAGCAACCAATCCCTGGACTAACAGAAAACAAGACTTTCCTCCGCTGACATCAAACAGTAACGAAAATATCTCGCTCAAACCTCCATTCAAAACGAAAATTCTAACAGAAGAAACTACCAGCGAACCGCAGAATCCTCCCTGTCAGACCTCTTTGACTTCTCTACGCTAAAAACAATCTGGACAATAGTGATCCAAGGACTTAAAAACATTAAAACCAAGAAATCACCTCTTGATAAAATAATCGCAGTAGTCGAAATCATTGAAAAAATAGGAAATCATCTTTAATGCTAATAAATTCAAGAACAGATGCAACATAAAAATCCTCTCTTGGAACGCTAACGGTCTTTACCATAAATGATGAATTATCGAACCTCATTAATGAAACTGAACCTGACGTAATACTCATACAAGAGACTCACCTTAAACCAGTACTCAAAGTACTTTATTCTACTTATAACACCTACCGTACTGATCGTGAGACAGGAAGAGGCGGTGGCATCATCACATTTGTTAAAAGGAGCATAAAACACGCTTAAATTCCTAATTCCAGTACCACTTTCGAAAGTAACACAATAGTAATTGTAATAGAACATAAAAAATTCAAAATTTCGAATATATACATCCCACCAAATAATAATCCCAGCGCACAAGAATTGATTCACCTCCTTAATTCTAATACTTCCACCATTGTCGAAGGGGACTTCAACGCCAAACAACCCTGTTGGAACCGAGGACCTGCTAACAAAAAAGGGAAATGACATATTTAAAGCTCATTCAATCAAATAATTATAACATTCATGCTCCAGACGAGCCCACCCATTACGGGTACAATAGCGCCACCACAATTGACTTCTTCATCTCAAATGACATTACTAACAGATGCAATATCTCTGTAATTTCAGCCGTCTTCCGACCACTACCCCATTGTATTTGAAATCCCCATTAATAAATACCTCCCCTCACTTGACAGAAGTATAGGAGTTGCAAATTGGATCAAATACTCTGAAATTCTGAATAACTCCATACAAGGTAACCCATGCATCAACAACACAGAAGATTTAGAACACGAAGTCTCAAAATTTACCAACAGCATCAATTCTGCTTTAAAGGAAGCCACCAATACTTTTTATGTGAACAAGCCTTTCCCTTCCCTGCCTGCCGATATAAGAAATAGGATTAGAGAAAAACCGGATCCGCAAAAGATGGCAAACCACCAGGGATTCACAACTCAAACACGAACTAAACTCTATGCAAAAAGAACTCAACAGACGAATCAAGAACTTCAAAAACCAAAAATGGACCAATTTCCTAAATAACCTTGCTATATAGGACAATTCCCTATTTGACATTTCCCTCAAATTCAAGAAACCTTATAAACATATTCCACCTATCCATGGACCTAGTGGATCTTCATATACAGAAGAAGATAAAGCTAAATCTTTTGCGGACTGTATGGAAAATACATTCACTTTTAATCCCACTCCGTACGACAATAACCATATTGAACGGGTCAACCAGGTGGTCAATAACTTCCTTAACACCCCTGCGCCTTACAACTTCACTTTCCTGACTACCCCAACCATCGTTGCCAACACCATCAGCGCCTTACAAACGAAGAAAGCCCCAGGACACGAGGGCATCTCGATCAAAGCACTGAAGCATCTTCTGATCAACGCTCTTACCTGCCTAACTAAAATAATCAACATTATCAAATTCGCTCATTTTCCTAACTCATGGAAGCAAGCTATAATAATTGTTTTCGCTAAACCGCAACAAAATCCAACTCTCCCACAGAACTATCGCCCTATAAGTTTACTTAGCCACCTGTCTAAAGTTACTGAGAAAATCCTACTTTTCCACATCCAAAAAATTCACCCTTCCATGAATTTTCTCCCAGAAGAACAATTCGGTTTTCGTAATCATCATAGCAACTTGCCACCAACTTCTTAGAGTTATCAACATTATCACTGAAGGCTACAACTGCAAGCTTCCGACCGGTGCTATATTTCTCGATATCGCGAAAGCTTTTGACAGGGTATGGCATCGAGGACTTATTTACAAACTAATCACTCTCAATTCTCCAGATCATTTTATTCGCTTAATAGCCTCTTTTCTCAGCAACAGAACATTCAGAATCAAAATTGGTACTGCATACTCTACCACCAGAGTAATCAATGCTGGTGTCCCACAGGGGTCGGCACTTTCGCCGTACCTTTTTAATATTTATACACAAGATATCCCTAAAGACCCTTCTGTCCATCTTGCACTCTATGCCGATGACACCGCCATACTTACTAAAGCCTGCAGCGTTATTGCCGTAAGAAACCAACTCCAAAGCTATCTCATAAAACTGGAAAAATGGCTTACCCTTTGGAGGATTAAAATTAACACTGATAAAACTAAGGCGATAATTTTCCGTAAAGGAAACATGAAATACTATCCTCCACCCCCTGAAATATTTGACGAAGAATAGACTGGATTAATGAAAACCAAATACCTTGGAGTCACCCTTGACCAAAAACTTACCTTCAGAACCCATTTCCGGTCCGTAGTACAAAAATTTAAAATCACCACAGCTACTATGCGACCTCTTCTTGGTAGAAAAAGCAACTTATCTACTACAAACAAATTAATTCTTTATCGCTCCATACTGCGCCCAGCTCTTCTTTATGCAGCACCGATCTGGGGACATGCAGCTAAAACCAATATTAAACAATTACAAATTCTACAAAATAAAATTTTACGAGAAATTATCAATGCTCCTTGGTATATTCCCAACACCTACATCCACAGAGACCTTAGAATGGAACTTATTCAAGAGTATATTAAACGATTAGCGGTCAACTTCTTTTATTCAGTACAAACCCACAGTAATAGCCTTATTAGCACTCTCAGACACTCCCCGCGTCCCAGAGAAAAACATCGGCTACCCTTGTGACATCCTACCACACATAAGAATTAAAACTCATTAATTGACTTATTCACGCTTAAATTGACTTTGCGGTTTACCACCCGCGGCTGCATCTTATAACGACACTGAACTTGCCACCCCCGCTTTTTTTCGCCGCCGCTAGTGCGGACCTCACTCTCTTTTTCATCCGCCTTCCCACACTTCCTTTCACCCTACTTCTTTCTTCTCCCACCTCCCGATCCTTATCAGAAGTCGAGTAAAAGATGCTTCTACATCTTGACGCTCGAGAATAAAATACGATCTGTGTGTGTGTGCTTTGAAAGTTATATATTTTCCTTTCGTTATATAGTTTCATTGATGCCTGGCTTTCTAAGCAACATATATATATATATATATATATATATGTAATACGAGATACCAACATAAGCTTAAGCGCATGATGGTATTGCTCTATTAAACATTTCAGCCACTAATAAATATTTCAGATATGTGACAGACTACCCAAGAAACATACATTGTGATAATTACGAACAGGATTACAGACATCTTT